TTAACTTTCTTCGTGTCTTTCTTTCCGTCCACTCGTAATGCGTACATCTTTGCCCTGAGCCCGACGAATTCAGTTATTATCGCACTGTTATTTTCATCCTTCATCAGACCCGACACTTTTTTATTTACAAGCGGTATATCGTACGCATTGTCCACCGCATAATCGCTCGTGTCAAATCTGGCGATATCGCGCTTCATGTTCACATAAACATCCGCACACTCAATGTGATAGATGAGACTGTCTGTGTCGGTGTACATGATCTTACATCTGTCGCGATACAGAGGAAATATGTACTCGTGATGAAATTCGTACAGACACGTCTTGAATATGTCGAATATGCACATACTCACGTAAATCGGTTTGTAAAATTTCACCTCGAGTTTACGCAATTCTACCGCAATCAGATTTTCCGAAAAAACGTTTCTGCTATGGAAATTTGGTTTCGCGATCATTGCTTCCGCGCCGTACCGACCATCCCATTTTGTTAATAATTTTACATTGACACGATTCCGCACATTTTCCATCATTTTGCCAAACACAGCATTATTCATTAATTTATATAAATTTTTCTCGAAATCGTTTTTCGCGAGTGTTCTAAACTGTGTATTTAATTCTATGTAATTTCGAAGCCATGGAGATTGAGAAAACTGTAAAATTCTATGTATTTTTGTTACACGAAGGCCGTGACGCGTACACTGCTGTAGGTTACGGTAGTGTATCACATAACGCTTCTTATCGTATAACGTTGCAAGCAGTTTGAATTCCCGCTTACGGGCGGCTTGTCGCACGTCGGGCAAAACGGTAGGTCGGTGTGCGTATCGTGAAGATGTTGCGGGTACTCGAGATCGACTTCGAGGATATACCCCGTAGGCAAATCTAGCGCTATAGATGATGCGTCGTCGACCCATCGAAAATCAGCGTAAGGCAACGGTTGACACATTGCCCATCCGTATAAGTTATTAACGTCAAAATACATCAAGTACGACGATGGTTTCGATGGATCGTACGATTGTCGCATGTACTTGTTATTAGCGCGCGCGTATCTGTTGGAACATTGGCTCAGATCACCGCGTATACCGCGTTCTATAAACATTATCATGTCGATATCTGTAAACAACTCGAACGTAATCTTTGTATGCTTTAACATGGCGTCCCACGTGTATCCGGGGAGAGTATAGTAATACGCGGGGTCGAGTCCGTAACTTTTGATGCAGCTATTGCGAAAGTTTTCGAAAATATCGGCTAATAACAAGACGTCGATTTTGAGATACATGTCGCTATATTCGCCCAGCGTTCGAATGGAGAATCGCGTCCAGATGTTCTCGGCGTGCGCGTAATTGCTCTCGGATATAGTTTCACCGGTCAAGGAACTGTAAAATGATTCGCGCAGTGGTAAACGTGTATCTTGCAACCTATCTATCGAGTCGACGTATTCGTACGGAAAGACGCCTTTCCGTGTTAATAAACTGAAATTTTCCGCGGATAAATTTTGAAATTCCGATTTTAAAATTTTGAGCTTATCTTTGTCTAGATAAGATGCCAATTTGTCGAGAGTCGATGTAAGAAATTTGTACGAATCGATGAAGTGTAATTTTACATGATTTTTCCAATTACCTTCCTTAAGGTCAACATTTTTCGTAAATGAAATATATTTCTCTTTCGTTATTGGAAGTAATTCGACTCTCCCTTCGAATGCTGTGGCTATTTCCTCGATAATAAAGTGCGACTCGTAACCGGATAAATTGTGGAAAATCGGAATACAAAAAGATTCTTTGTAATTTAAATTATAATTTGAATGCGCCTCTGTACCGCCCGGTCAAATGACAATGATCGCGAACGCGTGTATCGTCTTCCGCGAACGGTTTTTCGCATATGTGACATTGAGTGGCGCTGTGAAATTTTTCACACTCTTCCGATATTAAATTTACCATAGGGACATTGGTCGTTAAAATATTCTTAATGCGAATTGCTAAATTTTTAAGATCTTCGACGAACCATGCTATACAATCGACGCTACGACGCGAATGATACGCCGATAAAGATTCGTCGTACGAACAATGTATATAGTAAGCTATGCTAAATACTTGAGGATGTTGGTACAATTTTTGTTGTTGTTCTTTCTCCGTTTTGGCCAGAACGCATTCCAGGTCGGCGTACACGACGAATGGAAGCCGTTCTTTCCTATTGTAATTGTTGAACTCGAGCCACTTGTCCTTATCGCTCGGCAACCGGATAGCGCAGTCGTTCATCTCCCCGCAGTCGACAGCATGTAACTGCAACTTGACATCTGAATTAAAATAATGCAGACATCTGTAAAAGAAAAATTTTATCATAAGATTTTTTATATAAATTATTTGATATAATTATTTTATATTAATATATATACATACCGATCGCAGATATATTTCTTGTGATCTTTTTTGCTCAGTTGCGAACTCACGAGCCGGGATAAATTCTTGATTCAAGCAAAGTGTCCTACGCTGTTGTCGTCTTCCACGTAGCAGATTCACATGCCTATCTCGCTTCTGCTCCGAAATACGTATCGAGACAATACTGTTCTTGTCTTCGATACCGTACACGTTGATCGAGATATTGTTTGAGTTCAAATTTTTTAATCTGATTCACAGTCGCTGGAAACTCAATGTCCCGGAGATTCAGCACTGTCGCGTAAGGCGGGTACGATGATTCCCGTTCCGCGTTCCTTTCTGCGGGATATAGAGCGACGACCACTGCCCACGCGAAACACGTATTGTCTTTAAACTGTATGTTAATCACCGTTCTCTTCATAGCAATCTCTCGCGGCAATTTAATATAACATTCCGCGCGCATTGGATTATATTTATTAATATTCACAGTCAAATTCTGTATTCGCGACAATGCCCAACCACTATCGCGTTCCTGAAATTCCTCCAACGATGCTAAAGTGGGCTCGATAACGCGGCGCTTGAACCACTCGCGTAAATCCGATGTGCGAAAGAGTTCACAGTTTCTCGTATTTATACTTTTATTTGCACGCTTATCATCCGACACAAATTCACCGTTGAATATAGTATTTACTTTTACACTGTTGTGTCTTTTTATAACGTCTTGCACTTGCTCGAGCACGATGTCTTCGGCATCCTCAAGAAATTGACGAGGTTCGATATAGTTTGCGTTAATCCCAGCACCGGTCAGAATACGGCTATCGAACGCGGTATCGATCTCTCGCCAAACGAGTCTTTCCGCGTTATTGTTACCGCTGTAATCACCACCACTGGAAATAAACCGTCTCTGCAATCGAGTCTTTACACCTTCTAGTCGCGCGATTTTAGCCACTAGAGATTATCTACTTCCGATTGAGAGCCGCGGATGCTTGACACGACTGCGTTCTTCGAGCTCTTTGATCAATTCCTCGCAACGCTGCAGCCACGCGAAATACTCACCCAAGATGGCAATTTGGCGAGATCCCTCCACCAGATCGCGTTCGGTCTGCTCGATGTTTTCCATTTTCCTGTCTTTTTCACACTTTTAAAGCACTACGTCACAATTTTCTACGGATAACTTTTGCACACGATAAACAATACCGTTCGCTATCTTGAACGTGAAATCGTGCAAAAATCTTTCTAACGGAACACCGCTATACTTTTTTACAACCGATGCGTCGATGAGCGCAAATCACGGTTTATGATTTTGATGTGCTTCAATCCTTCTTATATACGAGCGGCGGAAGAAAGGGTGCAAAACAGCCGAACATCGGCGCTGATATGCGTCGCAATTCTTCCGAGAAAAAATCGTGGAAGACGATTCTGAGAGGTGCCATTTGTTTATATTGTTTATCAACCGGGCATGTAATATAATATTGTGTATCATTGCGATAAAACATCTAACACGCGCCGCCTCCGAAATCCCCTCCGTCCCGCGTGATGTCATTCCTCCGCGCCTCCGTAATCCCCCGTGCGCCTCACCCCCCCTAAGAGGACCTGAGTTAGAACCGGCCTATATATCCTACTCTCCTTGAAAACAAAAACGATCTTTTTTGGCATTTTTTGCTTAATCGATCACAAAATAAATAAAATGGAAATAAATTTTCAAATAAATACCATGTATATGTTTATAGAGGAACATTGAAGACGTACTTTCTACTTCAAATAGACTAAACAAATAGTTTCCCACTTAAAAGTTTAAGAGAGAAGAAGACTATTATACTAGACTATTAAATACTTGAGCGAATCAAAAAATAAGGTTTCCTGTTTTATTATGATTATTATTTATCACTTATGTACAAATTAAATTTATTGTATTAAAATCTAAAATGATCATTTTTTAATATAATTTTTGAGAAAATTGATGAACTTATTTTACCTTAATTGGCACAAATTTGAAATTTTTCTTTCAAAATAATTTCTTTCGGTAAAAATGCGTTAATGTTTAAGATATTCTTGAATGGTATTCTATACTGCTGCATTGTCTTTCCTCAAGATGTTTCTATAAATATCTAAACAAATAAAAATTGGAAATAGTCAAATTCAAGTTTGAGGAAGAATATTTCAGTAAAATATTTGAATAAAGTGATTACAAGAATTTGACGCAGAGTATGATCTGACATTATCGTAAGAAAAATTCACAAGAAAGAGACTTTTCTAAAAAGAAGTTTAGATCTCTTTCTTCGGAAAAGTCTCTTTGATGATACAGCAGTACAAAATTTTGTTCAAGAATGATCAAAAAACAGATTTTTATCAAGAAAAAAATCTTCAAACTCGTGTCAAGATCAAACAAGTGCATCTTCTTGGAAACTATATTGAAACGTAATTATTAACTTTTATTTTAACACAATAAGACCAATTTGTACATAAATAAAAATGTATTATAAATAATAAAAACAGGGGACCTTATTTTTTTATTCATCCGAATATAAAAAATATATATAAGTTTGGAGGTTATTAAATTATTAAATTAACTTTATATAAGTAATATCTGTATAATATGCTACATCAAAACATAATTAAAATAATATATCGCAGTCTATGCTTAATGACGTGCCTGATAAGCGTCCAAATTTGGGGTTTCTGGTGCGATCTCAGACGTGGATGGGAGAATAGCACTCGACTTAAATCACAGAACGCGATAATTTTCTCCGCAAGCGATGTGTTGGGATTAATGAGTCTCATGGCCGTCTCCATCATCAGTTCAATTATATACTGGCAACAGGTGCAAACTATCATCGATAAATTGATCGATGTAAGTCTCGTTTAATTATTTTAATCACAGAGATTATCGCATTCGAATTCATCGGTTCATTCGCCTTAAGTGCGATGAGAAGCTGGGAATCCTCTCGCCGAAGAAGCTGCAACGGTACACCATCCTGTTAACGATTTGCAGTCTCTCCTATTGCATCATTGTCTCATATCTCGATGTCCGCTCGTGGAATTACAAGGTACAGCTAAATAAGAAACTGGACAACACAGGGCCGTTCAATTATCTCCCTCTGTATTTTATGTACATAACTATTATTATGATGGAAGTTCAATATTCCATCATCGTGTACAATGTGAGCCAACGATTCTTTAGAATTAACAAGACTCTTGAAAATATCCTTAAAAGCAGCAAAATTACAAATCAATTCAGAAAGGATCTTGGATTAGGTAAGTTATTCTAAACGTCACTAATCATTTTTAAATTTTTAAAATGCTTTTAACGCAACATACAAATTTCATAGCTGGCGAGTTTCGAGATCAAGAACAATACATTACATACATCCGGCAAGAAATGATAGGAAATACTCGAATGTTTCGTAAATCAAAGATCATGGATTCCATTGTTGCAAATGGTACGATTTTAACTTTCATCATATGAAAAATCTGATAAAAGCACTAATCACGTAATAAACAATACAATATGAATAATAGCAAGAAAAAATAAATGCTAAATATATTAGAAAATAACAAATATATATATAATTAAATAAATTGAAAGGAATTAGGCTCTATATGTATTAAACAACACAAGAAACTAGCGATTAAGAGCCACAGCGGATGGTAATGCCTAAAAATTCTTTCATTATACGCGAAAATTTAAACGAGAACGAGGCATATGCTGAATCGGGAATCGAACCCGAGTATTTCGCTTGCCGGGCGACTGCTCTTACCACTATTCAGCTCCACATCTTAATCGCTAGTTTCTTGTCGTGTTGTTTAATACATATACAGCCTAATTCCTTTCAATTTATTTAATTCACGCGTAGCTGAAAAGATCGCGTTTCATTTTCCATAGTTATAAACAAATAGACGAGAGGGATAGCGGTGTGGGGCTGAACAGCTCAGTGGTAGTCGCCCGGCAAGCGAAAGACTCGGGTTCGATTCCCGATTCAGCGACTTCGCCCCGATATTTTTCTCGTCTACATCTCTTCAGTGAGGTAAAGAGGGTTTATAGAATTCTCAAAAATGAGAATCTATATCTTGGTAAATGCACCAAGTAAAATATAGGCATATGCCTCGTTCTCGTTTAAATTTTCGCGTACAATTAAATAATTTTTAGGCATTACCATCCGCTGTGGCTCGTAATCGCTAGTTTCTTGTCGTATTGTTTAATATATAATTAAAACTGTAGCAAAATTTTTTTCTAGATGGCAGAAGTTTTACAGACAGCATATCCCAACTGGTGACAGTACACGCGACACTGTGTGACACAGTATTACTTATAAATACTGTTTATGGCGTTATTGTACTCGTAATTACAATTACCTGTCTAATACATCTGATCATCACACCGTACGTTTTGATAATGGAAGCTGACGTAAAACGTGAATCGCTATTCGTTACAGTAGAAGGATTGTGGTGTATCTTTCAAATTTGGAGATTACTCGTGATAGTAGAGCCCACATATGCTACTATAATGCAGGTATATGTAATGATTTAATTTAAATAATTAATAAATTTATATATATAGAGGGTGTCCCAATTTAAAAGTTCCACCCTCACAACTTTTTTTATTTTGATTGAAAAAAATATTTCAGGCAAAAGGTGTATGGTTTTAAGGGGCACATAAGCCGGTGCCATTAGTTTGATCTTGAACTGTCACCTGAAGGTCACGCGAAGGTCACATCCAACTTTTTAAATGGGACACTTTATGTGCTTTTACATATTCTTGTAGCTCATCTAGAGAGCTTTCCAAAACACTGTAATAAAGTATTTTTCTATTGAGTGCTTTCCGAGTTATGAAGCTTGAAATCATTTCTTAATTTTACATAAACCGTGAAATATCTTGTAAAATATTCATTTTTCAATTATCTTACCTTAATACTTTTATGTATAAAATAATGAGGAATCAATTGGTGTAAAGAAAACACATAATTGTTTCGAAGAAAAAATATGTAATTTGCAATTAACAATTACATATTTTTCCTTAAAAATAACTGCGTGTTTTCTACACCAATTGATTTCTCTCATTATTTTGTACATAAAAGTATGAAGGTAAGATAATCGAAAAATGAATATTTTACTAGATATTTTACGGTTTATGTAAAATTTAAAAATGATTTCAAGCCTCATAACTCAGAAAGCACTCAATAGAAAAATACTTTATTATAGTGTTTCGGAAAACTCTCCAGATAAGTTACAAGAATATGTAAAAGCATATAGGGTGTCCCATTTAAAAAGTTGGACGTGACCTTCAGGTGACTCTTCAAGGTCAAACTAATGGCAATAGTCTTATGTGTCCCTTAAAACCATACAACTTTTGTCCGAAACATTTTTTTCTATAATCAAAATTAAAAAATTTATGAGGGTGGAACTTTTAAAATGGGACACCCTGTATACAGGATGTCAGGGAATTTTTAACCTTTACGAAGTAAGGAGGCAGATTGGCTCAAATTAAGAAGGAAAGACCTATTTTTTTGTGATTGTCGCAATAATTAACGAAAAATTAAATAAAGAAGATTGGCCAATGCGCGTGGTTAGAAGCACACGACGGCGAAGGCGGTCTGTAACATAATGGCGGCGTGCGAAGCGGTGATTGGAGAGGGGAGGAGCGATGAGAGTGTAAGCGCGTGGCGCAGGCTCCTCCCCTCCCCAATCATCGCTTTGCCGCGCGCCACCATTATGTTACAGTCAGACCGCCTTCGCCGTCGTGTGCTTCTAGCCACGCGCATTGGCTGATCTTTTTTATTTAATTTTTCGTTAATTATTGCGACAATCACAAAACAACAGAAGTCCTTCCTTCTTAATTTGAGCCAATCTACCTCCTTACTTCGTAAAGGTCAAAAATTCCCTGACATCCTGTATATATGTTAATTTTTATTAACCCCCATGCGCATTATCCCGAGTATATTCGTCCAAACTGTTGTTCCCGTATGCGCGATGACGAGTATATTCATCCAGATATTTTCTTTGCTAATTCCTGAACGAAATCACTTAAAGAGTCCTACGACCTCGCCAATTAAAACTTGAGACTAGCATTTTAAGAGGGATTGAGTTGCGGTATTAAATTTTGCATATATTATTATAAAAATTTGGATTGAAAATTGAAAAAAAAAAGAGAAAATTCATGTAATAATTTTTCAATTTTTCATCTTTACAAAAGTGCCCTAAAAGTACTCAAATCAATCTAGATACGTTTGCTTAGAGGTTTTTAGAGTCGCTGATTACGATCTGAAGTCAGAATCTCAAAATTCAAAATGGCGGATTCAATATGACGGTCAAGTACATGAAAAAATCGTAAAAAACCGTAATTATGGTCTTTTCTCACCTCAGATTCGTAATCTACGATCCCAGAAATCTTAGAAAATGATTGCGTTTACTTTGCAACCCTTTCTAAAAAACTCGTGCATATTGGTAACGTTCAAGTTAGGGAAAACTCTTGCGCAGGAGGGTTAACTTAAACTATTTAAATTACAATATTATAAATGTACAATAATTTACTATAAGGTAAAAGGATTATTGTTGATAATAGGAAACTCTTCAATAATCTTGATCTTATTATATATCAGGATCAAGAGCTAAGTTCTTTTTTATCAACATATTGATGAAAAACTATAATCTAGTAATGAAAGTTTCATACGTTATAAATCGTTAATAAAAAGTAAAGGCGATAGAACCAATGACGCTGAAAGTAGTGAGTGAAAGAAATTATCAATTATATTGCATAACAATTGGAGAATGTAAATTTACATAGTAAAAAATGCAAATTATATTCACGAAAAATCTTTTTAAAAAAATTCACGGGAAAGAGGATTTTCTAAAAGGAAGTTCAGACCTCTTTCTTCGGAAAAGTCTTTTTGTTGATACAGCAGTACAAAATCTTGTTCAAGAATGATCAAAAGATAGATATTTTTGCGAAGATTTTCGCAAAAAGATCTATCGACAGACGTTTCGACCGATAAATAGAAATATTCATATAGTTCCACGAGCTTCATGCCTCGCTGCTGGCGAAAAGGAAAACTCCTAACCCAACAGTGGAATTCATCTAAAACAGTAATATAAGATCGCGACACAGGTCCTACGAATCACGGCTTATCAAAGAGTGCTATTATAGCCGCATCTCCTCTAGCTTTTGCAAGGAGCTTCAAAGTTCCATGTAATTAACCGCAGACGGTTAATTTTTTTTTAATTTTATCATATATGTATCTATATACAGAACATTAAATCGATCAAGTTTTTGGAAGAATGACATTAAAATAAAAATTTAGTAGTTAATGACATAACATTAAATTGACTGAAAATTGACTTATAATCGCCATAAAGCTGACTTCTAAGACTCAATTCCAGAACTTACTTTAACTAAAGTTTAACTCGTTAAAGGACGATTTACATTGCGTCCCAAACCCATTGTATGCAATCGGACGTCATACATCGAACATTGAACGCAATGTAAATCCTCCTTTAACGAGTTAAACTTCAGTTAAAGTAAGTTGTGGAATTGGGCCTTAGAAGTCAACTTTATGGCGATTCTAAGTCAATTTTCAGTCAATTTAATTTTCAGTCATGTCATTAACTACTAAATTTTTATTTTAATGTCATTCTTCAAAAACTTGATCGATTTAATGTTCTGTATATAGATACATATATGATAGAATTAAAAAAAATTAACCATCTGCGGTTGAACGCAATGTAAATCTCCCTTAACGAGCTAAACTTCGGTTAGAATAAGTTGTGAAACTAGGCCTAAGGTCCGGTTCCACAACTCGAGTTAATCCGAGTTTAATACGTTAAACTGGATTCTGATTGGTCCATTCGTTACTTAAACTCGGATTAACTGGATTGTGGAACTGGGCCTAAGTCAACTTATTAGCCGACTGACAGTCGACTTGGTGTTGTTTAGGAATATTCTTATTTAACACCTGTAATAATCAATTTTGTTGCATTTATATAACATTAATAAAAGTAAGCGCAAATCTTGTTCAGTTCCTGCCGTTAATTTGCATCGTACAGATTCTGCTCGGTTTCTGCCGCCAGTTTGTTGACAGACAAAAGTTTAATGTAGAAACAGATGGCTACGGTTCTGGTGTGGGATTCTAATCAAATTTGCTGCCAATCTGCTGCTAACTTGCTAACATTTTGCTTACTGAGAATACTCAATCTTCGATGTATACACTCAATATTTGAGTGTATACTCAATATTTGAGTGTATACTCCCAATTTGGAGAATATATTTCCGATATTGAGTGTTTACACTCAATATTTGAATATCTTTTCCGTAAGAGATTCCAGCTCCTTTCAAGTCTAAAGTTTATTACAAGGACTTTCTGACTTTTAGTTGATTAAATTTTTAAATAATTTTAGACATAATACATATGTTTGATTGTTTGACATTGAAGAGGACCTCGAATAAGGTTGAAACGTTTGTCGACAGATCCTTTTGCATATAATTTGCGTTTTTCACCATGTAAATTTTACATTCTCCAATTATTATGCAATATAATTGATCATTTCTTCCACGCATTACTTTCAACGTCATTGGTTCCATGGTCATTGGTTGCCTTTACTTTTTACTAGCAATATTGATAAAAATAAAAACAAATACAAAAAACTCAGAAAGATTAAAATCATAAATCGTTTCCTATTTCTTGAAAGTAATAATGAGAATGCTCTTTTGTGGATCTGGGATTAATAATTATTTTATATTGCGATTCCGTCAATTATACGATTATCTTTAGGGAAAGAAAACAGCGGTTTTGGTAAGCCAATTACTATCCATGGATCACGACAGAGAAGGTACAAAACAACTAGAAATTTTTTCACTTCAGCTTCTACACCGTCCTTTGGAGTTTACAGCGTGCGGACTCTTCACTTTGGATCGTACTCTTATAACCTCAGTAAATAACTTTTATCTTTCCTGTATGCCAATTTTGGTGAAAAAAACTCACAAAATAATATATTTCTAGCTTGCTGGTGCAGTCACAACATATCTTGTAATAATCATACAATTCCAAAAAGAGGACAATACAAAGGGCAATTTCGATATTATATTGAAGAACGCCACACAAATGCTGAAAAACGCGACGATACTTCACAATATCACAGCGGGAAGATTGGGTCTATAAATTAAGACAAACTATGCTTCTCTTTATTCCTTTTATGTTCTCGAATCTATAAAAATAAAGCTTTTTAAAATTTAATACATGTCGCTCACGCATTTATTTCTAAAATATCCATGATTAAAAGAACTAAGCGTTTTTCACCATGTAAATTTTACATTTTCTAAAAGCCCGTATTACATTACGTTATAGACTCGGTTGCGGTTGTAGTTATTGTTTACACTGTTTACAGTTATAGATTGACCAATCAGAGTAAAACAGTTTGTAGACTGATCGGTCAATCCGCAACTATTAACTGGAATCCCAACTACAATCGAGTTCGTGATCCGTAGTACGGTGTAATACGGTGTAATACAGATAATTGATTTTGCAATACACAAAGATGCAGATTTCAAAAGCGATATCAGAGACTTAAAAATGATAAAATCAATAGAGCGCACACGAAATATATAACACAATTAATGTAAATCAATTTCTCAATTAAACATAATATTCATTAATACAATGACGAATAATTTTTTTCGTCAACAGATAAGTCTAATGATAAAGGAGAGATCGCGCGATGTAAGATGAAATATAGGTCTTGAATGTGAATTCGATCGACAGACGCGTAATGACATTTAATATCCCAATTCTCATACATACAGTGGCGATATAAGAAATACGATCTCGTTTCGCTAGATCGCTAATTTATTGATCGATTGTTAATTAACGAAATAATGCTATCATCATAATCAAATTGACAATTAATTAGCTCCGTAGTATAATCGTCTAACAAAGTTAGACGTCGACGTCACAGTCTATCCAAAAATTTGCCACTCATCACTTCTCATTGTGCTAAGCATGAAGATATTTAAAGAAATAGATAAAATTGATCATATAAACTTGAAGGATCTCCTTGAATTTCTCAGAGAACTATCTCTCAGAAAAAATTTTAGCTCGAGATTATTCTCAAAATATATAAAACTTCGTATGTTATCTCCCTCCCTCTCTTTCTACAATTTTCTACATATCTGCAATAGGTACATTCTTGTTCGCGTACAAATTATTAATCTAGCAACAAATATATTAAATCGCTTAGAACACTCCAGATGAGTTAGTCCGCATGTTATAAGGGTGTTTCATAAGTGGTGGGTAAAATTTCAGGAATGGATTTCTCATGCTTAGAAAAGAAAAAAAAGTTAATCAACATAGGTCCCGAAATGATTAGTTTTTGAGTTATTAAGATTTTTGTAATACAAAATTTTGTCTCATTTCTCGTCTTAAAAGTCCTTTTATAGGCATCAATAATGTTTTTCAAGTTCGGCGGCCTAAAATGCATGCATTTTTCGTTACACTATTACATATTCGTACAGAAACCAGCAATTGAAGAATTCTACTCACAATATCGTCGTTACGATCAGTATCGGCGTTGTGATTGCAAATTTGTTTAGGACCAGCCTCGTTGTATGTAATTCCTTCCTTAAAATTTCTTCTTTAAGCTGAAAAAATAAATTAAAAATTGTTATTTAAAAATTGTTAACTATGATACGACCATCGCTTTTTAAGAGCCGGCTGGAGTAACGGGCAACCCCGTGTAACGTCCATTCACCCTTCCAATGGCGATTTGGATATTTCTCGTGGACAAACCACGGGACGACCAACCGACATGCGACAATAGCGCCACACTAGGCATCACATGGCGCCACGCTAGGCTTAGCACCTCTTATATTTTTATTTTCCCTAGGTTCTTTTCTCTCTTCCTAAAAAGATTTACATACGTAAGAAACTCTAGTTTTTGTACCAAAGGTAAAATTGTGATCTCAAGAATAAAGGCTGATTTTGTATTAATTAACGGCATACATAAATATATATGTGTTGGATACCCATATCCCTACATATATATTTTTGGTGACCCCGACGTGATCACGAAGGTACGAGGAACGCTGTGCGAGGCACGCAAAAAGTTTGTTAATATACTTGGCGGACATATTGGTTGCACGAAATCGAAAGACCGATTTTATAATGCCGACAACGCACTCACCACCGCGAGGCGGAACAACGAGCGAGTTAAACGCCGGCTGTGTGTCACGCGATGACAACGACGTTTTGTCTCTCCAGCGAGCACCGCGAACCCGAGGCTATAAACGCAGTACGCCTAGTAAAACTGCCGCCGTTTCGGAAAGAAAATCCAGTGTTATGATTCACGCAGATCGAAGCAGCATTCGCTATATCCAGAGTGACAAGCGACGAGATGAAGTTCAGGTACGTCATAGTTCATTTGGATCAAACAGTACTGCCTTTTGTCTCAGATATTCTGGCCACGCCGCCGATCGCAAACAAGTACGAAACTCTTAAGCAGGATAATAGGATCGTTTGATGAAACCAACGAGTCCAAACTGCAGAGATTGCTACGTGGAAACGAGCTCGCGGATGAGAGATCCTCAAATTTCTTGCAGAGACTGCGGAATCTTTCAGGGGGTCAATGCACCAACGCAGTACTTAGAACATTATTCTTAGAGCAGCTGCTTGACAATGTACATAGTATCTTAGCCATAAGTGAGGTTACAGATTTGTCGAAATTAGCAATGCAAGCTGACAAAATCACGGATATGTCAAGAGCTAGCGTAGCACAAGTCAATGCCGTTGCAAAATTACCACATGCGGGAGAAGCTACCGCATCTTACGAACTCAAGGCTGCGGTCGACGCAATAGCAGAGCAACTTAAAGAGTTACGCAGTGCACAACAGCGAGGCAGGTCCAAAAGTAAAGGACGTGACAAGTACGTGCGCAGGAATAAATCAAGATCAAAATCTCAAGAACGTCATGAATCCAATATATGTTACTATCACCGCAAGTTCGGGCAGAAAGCGTTCAAATGCCTATTACCATGTGAATGGAAAGAAGCAAAGACAGCGATCGCGGAAAACTAACCGCGTCGTCTAGCCAGGTGACGGAGGCGGGCGATGCAAAGACATTCCGTCTAACCGTAGCAGATAGGAAAAACGGGATTCGCTACCTCATCGACACCGGAGCAGATGTGTCAGTTATACCAGAATGCAGTCAGAGAAAAATATACGCCGAGCAAATATAAATTATACGCCGCCAATAATACTCTGATAACCACCTACGGGTCAAAGTTAGTTAATGTAGACTTAAGATTACTAGTAGACTTAAGATTCATAGTGGCGGAAGCAAGCAATAATTGGAGCGGACTTCCTGACATTTTGGATTGTTAGTCGACTTAAAACATAAACTGTTACGTGAGATGGAACTACAAGTTGCAAGATAAACGATAAACTGTCAATTTCGGAGATTGGAGGAATTACCACCTTTGACCATGCTGATCCTTTTGCCGATCTCCTGCGGAAATTCAGCGACATCACTAAACCGGTAAGCCTCCAGAAACCAAAATGCGGAGTAACGCATCACATTATTACTACAGGTCCAGCGGTCGCAGAACCGGCGCGCAGACTGTCTGGCGAAAGATTACAAGCAGTACGCGCACAAATACAATATATGTTGGACGCGGACATTTGTAGACCCAGCTCTAGTCCTGGGCTAATCCATTGCATTTAGTACCAAAAAAGGATGGCGATTGGAAAATATGCGGCGACTACAAGCGATTAAATAATATCACAGTGCCGGACAGATACCCAATTCCGCTCTTGTACGATTTCGCACACAATCTGGAAGGATGTACCATTTTCTCGACACTAGACCTAGCAAGGGCGTACCACCAGATACTTGTCACAAAGGAGGATCGTCCAAAAACGGCAGTAATAACACCATTTGGTCTTTACGAGTACAACGGGATGTCTTTCGGTTTACGAAACGCCGCACAGTCATTTCAAAGGCTTATGGATTGTGTCCTTCGTGGCATCGACTATTGTCATTGCTACATCGACGACATTTTAATAGCGTCACCGAACGTGGAAACACACCGCGTACACATATTTCATATTTTTCAACGATTACAAGAACACGGGTTATCAATGCAGCAAAATGTGTTTTTGGCAAAGAAGAGGTTAATTACTTAGGTTATACCATCAATAGTCACTAAACCTCTGGATAAGAGAGTGGAAGCGATTAAGAAGATGGAGAAACCAACGGACATCAGCGGACTCAGACGTTTCTTAGGAATCATAAACTTTTATAGAAGATTTGTTCCTAACGCTGCACTCACGCAGTCTCCGCTCCACGAATATCTGACGAACCAAGAAGAAAGATAAACGCCTTATAGCATGGAATGAACGTGCAGATAAAGCTTTCCAAGAATGCAAAGAGCAAATAATAGACGCAACTCTATTAGCACATCCGAGAAAACATGCAGTCCTGGCAATAAAGTCAGACACCTCAGATGCAGCAATGGGTGCCGTTTTGAAACAATACAACCAAGGAAATTGGGAACTCCTCGGATTCTTTTCAAAGAAATTCAATCCAGCACAGAGAAATTATAGCACATATGATCGAGAGCTCCAAGCCATTTACAGCAGTCTCAAATTCTTCAAATCAATAGTAGAAGGTCGCAAACTCATAATAAAAACCGACCATAAGCCGTTAATCTTTCTTACAGAGTCTTCGAAAGCATCGCCAAGACAGTTAAGGCAGCTCGATTTCATCGGTCAATTTTGCACGAAATCATCTACATCAAAGGTGAGAACAACACATTAGCCGATGCACTGTCACGCGTCGAATTAATCGACATGCCAGTCGTCGTTACAATCGAAGAACTTGCGCAGGCACACCGACGAGGAACTCAAAGACTTACTTCAAAATGAAGCTCAATCACTGCAGCTAAAGAAAATTCGTGTAGACAATTCTGATACCGTCGTTTATTGCGACATTTCTAAGGAAGAGATACGGCCCTATGTACCTAAAAGCTTACGAAAAAGAGTATTCGATGTCACACACCGTCTAGCACACCCCAGTGGACGCGTCACTCGAAAAATTATTGGACAACGATTTGTATGGCCAGCAATGAATAAGAACATTACCGAATGGGTAAAAACTTGTTTACAGTGCCAGAAAAACAAGATCCACAGACACAAGCGACTCGAACCAGAGCACTTCCCACAGTGCCTGATACAAGATTTGATCACGTGCACATGGACATCATTGGACCGCTACCCAACATTAAAGGATACCGTTACTGCGTAACAATGATCGATCGTTTCACAAGGTGGCCTGAAGCAGTTCCAGTTCAAGATATTTCAGCGGACATCGTTGTGGATGCACTTTTTCATACCTGGATAGCACATTTCGGCGCACCCACGACAATCATTACCGATCAAAGAACACAATTCGAATCGCAACTGTTTAGATCTCTGATCTTCTAATCTTCTGGGATGCAAACGTACAAGGACTACAGCGTATCATCCAGTATCAAATGGGATAATTGAACGTTGGCATCGTTCTTTGAAAACTGCAATCCGTTGCCATGAATCTAAAAATTGGTTACAAGCATTACCAGTTGTTCTGTTAGGGTTACGCACCAGCATCAAAGAAGACATAAAGGCCACAGCAGCAGAATTGGTATATGGAACTACCCTACGTTTATCAGCCGAATACTTCTTCAACGAAGATGTTGCACCAGAACCAGAGACTTTTATACAACATTTCCGAGAGCACATGCAGAATGTCGTCAGGTCTACGCCAACAGCTCATCACAGTAAAAAGAAGACATTCACGCATAAGACTTTATATACATGTACCCACGTCTTTGTGCGAGTGGACAAAGTAAAAGGCCCACTAGAACCACCATACGAAGGACCGTACCCGGTAAGCGAAAGAATCACAGATCATGTATTTAAAGTTCTTATTAAAGGAGAGGCAGTTAACATCTCGGTGGATCGCTTTAAACCGGTATTCATGGAAGCAAGATTTGAGGAAGAAGGCGAGTCATCATCCATGCAAGCCACGGAAACTACCAAATTGAGAGTCTACCCGAGAGTCTACTCAAGGGGGAGTGATGTAACGTCCATTCACCCTTCCAACGACGATTTGGAGATTTCTCGTGGACAAACCACGGGACGGCCAATCACAACGCGACATGTGACAATAGCGCCACACTAGGCATCACATGGCGCCATAGACTTACTAGAATAAACTGCTCATGAGGCCTCATTATTGTGGTGGGGGTATCCGTCACTGAGAAAAGGATAACTGTCGTTAATATGAGTTTCTATCTCTTTCTAGTGGGCGTGACTTAGCTCACATCGACAATACGCATACTATGACATTCACGCTCTGACACCGTTATTGGTCGTTATGCTTCCCCACTACTCTGCATTAGGAAGAGATAGAAACTCATAATAACGACAGTTATCCTTTTCTCAATGACGGATACTACCTCCCACTACCTTCATGAGCAATCTATTCTAGTAAGTCTATGCATGGCGCCACGCTAGGCTTAGCCACAGACTTTATATATACAGGGTGTCCCGAATTTAAATGTCATAACTTCGGGAGCGTGTAGGGGATCGATAAACTAAAAGAAAAAGTGGTATAGAGAAATGTTCGTTTTTGCTTCGTTTTGGAGAAAATCGCAAAAAACATAAAACGTAGTTTTTATTTCTGTATTTATTTATTACTTTTTAATTCATATTTATTTTATTTTCTTTTTTTTTTTATAAATTAAAAAGTAATAAATAAGTACAGAAATAAAAACTACGTTTTATGTTTTTGGCGATTTTCTCCAAAACGAAGCAAAAACGAGCATATCTCTATACCACTTTTTCTTTTAGTTTATCGATTCCCTACACGCTCCCGAAGTTATGACATTTAAATTCGGGACACCCTGTATACTAGACTGCTAACCTTGATTCCCTAGACGTACCAGTACATAATGTACAGGGTGCTTCCGCAACATACAGATCGGTAAGTCGGGTTGCCTATCTGACGATCGGTCTTCTTTTACCGACCTCGCATAATTGAAAAATAATAAAATCAGAGGATCGATCATGTAATTTTTTTTCATGAAAAGTGAAAAAATTCCTTGATTAATACATTGAATGCAAATCCGTAGGGAATGAGGAAAGTAAAATCAGCTTTTAACATTCATATAGTGTAATTGTAATATTTAATAACATAAATAACATTATACAGGGTGTCCGTCGATTTTCGACCTAAATGAAATAAATAAGTAGATTGGCTCGAATTAAGAAGGAATGATCTGTATTGTTTTGGGATTGTCGCAATAATTAACGAAATATTAAATAAAAAAGATCGGCCAATCTGCATGAGTAAAAGCGCGCGGCGACGAGAGTCGTCCCACCGTAATCCGATACTACGAGCGCGGCGAAGCGGTGGGCAGGTCGCTCTCCGAGACATGATGGTGGTTTGCGATATATCGCAATACTGCGCCGAAAAATGACCCGTCCCCCCTTTTCGTGACGAGAAAATGATGCGCTATCATTTCCACACCACCTTGCGGTAGATAGCATGGTGCGCTTTTTTTATAGTGGTTTCCCCCATAGGCCTATTCCACTCTCAATTGAAAAATTATTCAAAATGCCATTTACTGTACGCTGAAATATATCATAAATGTAAAAAATTAATGGACAGTACCTTTACAAAAATTAATTGGTGGTTGAAAATCCCTCGATAAAATGTATTGCACACGTTGATAATGTGATACGATGATAAAATTCTTCAAGAATCCTTTCTTCATCTCGTACACGAAGACGCACTGCTGGACCGGTTATTCCGATATTATGCACGACGCTCAGTTTCACATAATTATTGCACAACACGTAAAATTGTACGGCCACTTGGTTTTCGTGCACGCCCGAGAAATGATTCCATGTAAATTGCGGCCGCACGATAAGTATTTTCTCCCGCTAGTCCGTATGCCATAATTATATCCGTATATTCCTGCAGAGTACACTTCATTTTCTCTGTTAATTTACTACGCAAACACAAGATTTTTATTAAAACGTCTTAGCTCTCGCACGCTGTTACCAGACTGCGTACGCCAGCAGCACGCAACTACAGCTGACAGCTGAGCGGACATGTGAGTGTAAGCGTACGTGTGAGTTCGACGCCTGCGCACTATGATTACACTCACAGTCCGCTCAGCTGTCAGCTGTAGTTGCGTGCTGCTGGCGTACGCAGTCTGGTAACAGCGTGCGAGAGCTAAGACGTTTTAATAAAAATCTTGTGTTTGCGTAGTAAATTAACAGAGAAAATGAAGTGTACTCTGCAGGAATATACGGATATAATTATGGCATACGGACTAGCGGGAGAAAATACTTATCGTGCGGCCGCAATTTACATGGAATCATTTCTCGGGCGTGCACGAAAACCAAGTGGCCGTACAATTTTACGTGTTGTGCAATAATTATGTGAAACTGAGCGTCGTGCATAATATCGGGATAACCGGTCCAGCAGTGCGTCTTCGTGTACGAGATGAAGAAAGGATTCTTGAAGAATTTTATCATCGTATCACATTATCAACGTGTGCAATACATTTTATCGAGGGATTTTCAACCACGAATCAATTTTTGTAAAGGTACTGTCCATTAATTTTTTACATTTACGATATATTCAGCGTATAGTAAATGGCATTTTGAATAATTTTTAAATTGAGAGTGGAATAGGCCTATGGGGGAAACCACTATAAAAAAAGCGCACCATGCTATCTACTGCAAGGTGGTGTGGAAATGATAGCGCATCATTTTCTCGCCACGAAAAGGGGGGACGGGTCATTTTTCGGCGCGGTATTGCGATATATCGCAAACCACCATCATGTCTCGGAGAGCGACCCGCCCACTGCTTCGCCGCGCTCGTAGTATCGGATTACGGTGGGACGACTCTCGTCGCCGCGCGCTTTTACTCACGCAGATTGGCCGATCTTATTTATTTAATATTTCGTTAATTATTGCGACAATCCCAAAACAATACAGGTCATTCCTTCTTAATTCGAGCCAATCTACTTATTTATTTCATTTAGGTCGAAAATCGACGGACACCCTGTATAAAGAAGATCTTAAAAATAAAATTCGAAAGGCGTGTGCGGAAATCACTCCTCTGATAATTCGGAGAGTAAGGAAAAATTTTATGCGGAGGATTGCTTTATGTTTAGAAGAGAATGGCGGTTACATTGAGCATATATTGTGAACATTAAAAAATAGTTTTTTGTTTAAATTCATTATATTTTATCTGTGTTATTATATTTCAATTGTGTCATTTTATGTTATTAATGTTATTTAAGTTATTTATGTTATTAAATATAATGTTATTTATGTTATTAAATATTACAATTACACTCCCAGACAGCACATGGATGTCCTCTGGAAATCCAAAGGACATCCAGTATGGACAAAATGGATATCCTGTGGACATCCTATTTCAATCCCAGGATATCTTCCGGATGTCTTGAGGAAGGGCAAATGATCGCTCATTTTTAGTCCCTGAATCATCCCAAGGATATTATGTAGGACATCCCAAGGATATTGTATAGGACATTACAAGGACTTTTATAGGACATAAAAATAATGTTTTTAAATTTCTCAGAAAAATAATGTTTTATTATGTTCATATTTATAATTAGATTTATATTAAATCACAGAAGCTTTATTTTTATTATAATTATATCACAAAAGTTATAACTAAAGTTATAAACTTTTAAATAAAAATTATATTTATATAGATATATATGTTAATTTGAACATTCAGAACGTCAAAGTAATTACTAAAATAATACTAAAATAGTAATAATTTTAAAAAATGCTACATGAAAGATAAACTTAATAAAGGAAAGTAATAACATTAAATTATTAATGTAATGAGACTACAAAATAATAACATAAAATACATTGCAATTTATAGTTTGTACGTGAAACATTGCACTCATTAATTTTCGCAAAACAAAACTATTAAAAATAAAATAATTATAAATAAGTATATACATTTCATGTTCCAGCTCTATATATGTAGCAATTAAATAAAAGCTTTGGAAAAATTAAAAACTAAAAAAATTAAAAATTAAAAAAGTATATACAGTTGTTTCATTCATTAATAATTAAAAAAAAATTATAAATCTGGCTTAAGAAGTTATAGGTACTTCTTATAGTATAAAGAATAAATTTTATTCTTTATTTTCCACTCCAGGGTTAGTTCTAGTTTCTTTGCTGCAAATAAAAATAAATTTATTACATCATATATATATATATATATATATATATATATATGCGTATATATAAAATATATATGTGAATATATATATGTATATATATTCGCGTTTCGAAATATTTTAAAACTTACTCGATTTTCTTTACATGACGTTCGTTTGCATGTCGCAACCATGATTTTATTGGTTCAGCATATATACGCATATATATATATATATATATATATATATATATATATGCGTATATATAAAATATATATGTGAATATATATATGTATATATATTCGCGTTTCGAAATATTTTAAAACTTACTCGATTTTCTTTACATGACGTTCGTTTGCATGTCGCAACCATGATTTTATTGGTTCAGCAATATAATGATCTGTTGTTTCTTATCGTATCAAGTCTCATCGAATAAATACTTCATACGATGAGAAATACTTTTTAACCTTTTTTATCTTAATACAAAAGAATATATATATATATTTACATATATCTAATAAAGATTACATTATTTACATAAAAATATATTTATATATAACTTATGTGTATCATCGAAATCAGCTTATGTCCAAAAACCTTCAAACTGATGTTTCGCAAGATAAAAAACTGGTGTTAATTAAACGTATCCACCTAAAACAATGTAGAAAGAATTGCATTAAGTAGTTATGATTATTTCTTAACAAACACAAAGTAAGGATAACATATATGACAATAATTTATTATAATTTTCCATTCAAACTATAACGTAAAATATGCCTTGTAACAATTACATTGAATAAGAATATGTTATGTTATTCTTTGTGTTTGCTTAATTAGAAGTTTGGATAGTTCTAAAAACATTTATTAATTAAAATTTATTCATTAATAATTGCTAAACGCTGATTTTTAACAACAGCAAGCAATGAATATAATCTAATCTAACCTAATGTTTCTACAATTA